AAAAAAACCAACCTTTTATGCATAAACTGTTGTCTCATATTAAAGTGCAGTGAAAAATGCACCATCACCGAAATACTGGTAGTAGGTCTGCCCTCAATACATAAATAATGGAGAACATAATACGGTATTTAGTTGATATTTACAGTGTGAGCATCTATCTTCTGATATCCTGTTTGAAAGCCTTATACCACTGTAATTTCTCTGTGTTTGTGCTAGTAATATTGATGCCTTCTTTTGCTATTCTTTTCTAGTGATTATTCCTTGTCGTCTTTAGAACTCGGTCCTTTTCTCATCTGATAGTAGGACGATGAAACCACAATTCATGATGTTCCTCAATCCTCCCCTACATATTTGTGCATTGCTAAAGCCACATATTATTTGTATGTTATTCATGTGGTGTTTGAGGGCTATTATTTGGATATCTTATGCAATACCAAGGTTCTCTCCGTAAATTCTCTCTTGTACCCAAACTTATTAGAAGATGATGTCCAAAGAGCAAAATACAGAAGAAAATCAGATCAGTTGACGGTTTGTCATCCTTATCTTTTCCAAGGCTGTAATCAGTCTTACTCTGGTCATGGACAATTTATCAGGAGTTTGACATTGAAGTCATGTCTATCAAGAATGTTAAGTTCATATATCAAAGCATTTATAATAAGTGATAGAGCTGTAGATACCTCTTGATTTCAGCCATTTTTCTGAACTATTCCAGTAGATTTAAGCTGTTCAGATTTAAGTTGAGACTGATTGAAAACCCTTTTACTTGATAATAAGTAATAGAGATGTAGATACCTCTTGATTTCAGCCATTTTTCTGAACTATTTCGTGTATTTCTACTTTTTATTAGTTTTTTGAGATGCTGCTAGTGTAACAGCTTAGCATATTCCTACTTTCCCGTGCAGATTCATTTGTTTGGTGGGATTGGCAAAGGTGGGAGAAAGAAATAGATTGGATGGCACTTCAAGGAATCAACTTACCTTTAGCGTTTACGGGGCAAGAAGCTATCTGGCAAAAAGTTTTCTTGGTATTGTTATAGCTTTGGATTTTGTGGGTTCCCCTAGCTTAATTTAGAGCCAAATGGCTGTTTCCATGGCAATTTCTGCCTGATATTCAAATGGGGAAAGTCATACAAGCTGTTTGATTACTTGATACCTTTGAGCAAGAGCACGAGTTTTGTATATGTTAACGGAATCAGTTGTGATAGTACAAATGCTATAAACCTATCTTTCTGCTAACATATGCGTTGTTTCTCTATTGCTAAACTTAGCACTTCTGTCTTGGATCTACCTCTATGAAGTAGGCCAGAACTTGGGCCTTATTTCAGATAAAGTTTGTTGATTAAAATGTTTATTCTTTGTGCCGAGTAGTTAAGGTTTCATATGCCATCAGGTAAAATCTTGTTCTCTGAGAATGCAGCATTTTTCTCTGAAATTTACTGAATATACATCCCTTCATGCTATTAATTCTTGGCTATTTTATTTGGTGCTGAAAAGCAATGTCCCAATATCTGCTTAATGTTACTTTCCTAGTTCTTTTATGGTCATTATGTCCATATCTTATGTTGCTACAGAGATTATATCTGCTTGATGTTTACCTTGGTGTTCTTATTACTGATAGTGTGTAGGAGACAACTACCATAGTGCTTGATTAATTGTCGCTCATGATACAGCTTGTTATGGTTTTATAAGAAGCTTTATTAGACGCTTATAAGCACTTTCTGGTTCATGTTTGTTTATGCCCAGGATTATAATATTACTAGCCAAGATCTAAATGATTTCTTTGGTGGACCTGCCTTCCTGGCTTGGGCTCGCATGGGAAACCTACACGCGTGAGTACCATAACCCGTCCCTTGTTTCTAACTTGTCTTTTCAATCAAGGGCATTTCCAGCCACAACAAATGCTGGTAAACCATATGTTGTAACAAATGTTATCTGGTTCAGGTATCTTGTGAGACCAAGGCATATATTTGTAAATATTTTGTGAATTAAATGTCATGCGGTAAATTGACTTTGAACTTCTGTAGATGGTGCTCAAAGTTAAAGGGTTCAGTACCTAGGAAAGGAGGATATTTCAGATGTGTTAAAGCAGGCCTATCTTAGGCTGTTCAGCTACATCTAAGTGAGTTTAGCTCGGCCTATCTTAGGCTGTTCAGCTACATCTAAGTGAGTTTAGCTCGGCCTATCTTAGGCTGTTCAGCTACATCTAAGTGAGTTTAGCTCGCCTATAAGATCTATAATGAATTCTAAATTTACTTGTCATCTGATTGATGCATGCAATCCTTCTCATATGATTGGAAGGCCAACAGGTGATAGGCTAGGTCTACTTATAAAATTTTCCATCCTATTGTGGCCTCTTGTTCTTAATAGATTCTTTTTGAGATGGGAGTCATATGTAAGGTCTATTTGTTACCAATGTTATAAGAGCTTGAAGAATCATTTGTGCCTCAATTTTTTGCAAAGCTAAGCTGATTCGTCTCCATGTTTTTTCCCTAGCTGCCTATTATCCTTTGCTATTTGTGTCTTACCATTTCGTTGTTGAGGTAAGAAAGACCAGGTGTCATTTTTTACCCTCACGGGGATTAGTTGTCTTAGCACAATCCGACATTTTCCTCGTTAAAGTTTGTATTTTTTGAGGATGAAGATGAAAGCATGCATCTTTAGCGATACTTTTTTTTATAATCGTGGTGTCGGGGCCAACTTGCACGCACCTCGACTAATTCCACGGGCTACCTGCTACCTCCCATCAGGTATCTAGTAACTCTATCCACCAAGGCTTGGACAGAGGGGAAGAAATCACCTAGTGTTTTTGTCTCCTCTGAGATTTGAATCTAAGATCTCAGATTCTCAACCCACTTCATTGACCACTAGGCCACACCCTTGGGTCCTTATCTACACTTTTAAAGTGTTCATACAGCAGATGCGACTAAATTCATCCCTATTTGTATTACATTCCTCATGGTATCTATGCTTCAAAGTTTGCTGCGGATTGCTCTCTGTATCTTATTGTGTTTCATTTTTGGATATTTACACTCCAAATCTATATTGCACTGCAGATGGGGTGGACCTTTATCTCAAAACTGGTTAAATATTCAGTTAGCATTGCAGAAACAGATATTATCTCGGATGCAAGAGGTGGGCATGACCCCAGGTATGCCATTGTTTTTGGTTCCAAAGGAATCTTTCACCAATTTTGTCTTTCTTCTTTATGTTCGAATTCTGATTAGCAGACCATGGCTTCTCGTAGCCCGGTGTTTTAATTAAGTTGAAGGTGTTTCTGTTATTTACTTCTTCAATTCACAATGTGATTGCTCAAACTAATTTTCTTGTCTTCATTTTTCTCCAATGGCTGCTAGTGCTTCCATCATTCTCTGGAAATGTTCCAGCTGCTTTAAAAAAGATATTCCCGTCTGCAAATATTACAAGACTTGGGGACTGGTATGTCAATTTTTGAAGTTTGTTGTCTCTATTAGTAAATTTCCGTCTTGCTGGTCCTTTTCATAACATTGTTTTCTATTACTTTTATTTTGAGGATATGCAAATATTTCACAATCTCTTTCTTTCCCTTCGCTTCACTCTCCATGCCAAGTTTTAGAACTTTTCTTCAACATGTTTCTAAATTAAGTTCGATTTCTGTGATGTTCGTTAGATGATAAGCTTATGACAGCTAGTGAGATGCGTCCTTTAGTTTTTTTCCTCTACCCTCCTAGTTTTTGACCAACTTCTCTTCTATAATCTAAAAAAGAACGATAGTTTTCCAATTTTATATTCGTATAGAGCAATGTACGAATTCCGACTAACCTTTCTTATGTTGAAGAGCTAGAAGTATTAAGGACTCACTTAGCTTTCTGTTTCCGAAAGTAAAAATTCTATCCCTGGTAATTTTAAAATTTTCATGTTTCTGAAGTGCTCCCTAAGAAAGTACATCTAACTTGGCTGAAAATTTTATTGTCAGATACTAGGAAGATTTGCTTGTTTTGAACCTGATGGAGTTTATACTTTTCTTAGGAACACTGTTAATGGTGACCCTCGATGGTGTTGTACTTTTCTCCTTGCCCCTTCCGATCCTTTATTTATTGAAATTGGAGAGGCATTTATCCGGAAACAGATTGAGGGTGAGTAATACTTCTGTCCTTCAGTTGAAAAGGATTCGTCTTTAATAAACAGAATACAGATAAAAGTTTTTGGTCTTGAAAAATGTAAAAGGATTCTAGACTTTTGTGAAGCTTCTTGACCTCTTTTATTCTTGTTCTATTGCTTTATCTTTTTCCATTTTGAACATAGAACATTGAGGGTCCAAAGCTTTTTAACATATTACCCTTATCTGTTTCCACCTGCTATGTTAAATGAACTAATGGAAAGAAATAGAATAAACAAGAAATTGCATGACCACTACGCTTCACTGGGGAAACCAATGAGTTCCCAACAGCTCTATAACTCTAAAATCTTGACCAGTAGACAGTATGAAGAGATGACACTGCACCAGATTTTGGGGAACTCAGGTGTCCACATTGTCACAAACAATTTTTCCAACTTAGAATATCCTAGTACAACAACTATGTCTCAGTCTCAAACAAGTTGGGGTCAGCTATATGAATCCTCAGTGACCACGTTACCCCATTTAAACTCATCTCGTGTCAATATTATGTTTTTGATAAGGTAAATGGTATTATTCACAAAGGGAAAACTCCCTTATACAAGGGGTATACAAAAAGGTAGAGGATCTACAACAAAACATGATTCTCTACAGAAGACACCCAGTCATCTATACAAGTTGGGATCTCATGGGTGCACCAAAAAGCTATCAAAGACACGAGACTAGTTCTCAAGTGTGCAAAAACATTCTCAATCCCCTCAAAAGCTCTCCTGTTTCTCTCTCTCTCCATACGATCCACATAAGGGCTAATGGAGCAACCTTCCATGCCTTTTGTCTTCTTCTCCCACGACTACCGGCCCAGATGTGCAACCATCTCGTGCCAATATTATGCAAATACAAATAAAAATTAGGAGTTCTGTCTTTTTTCTAAACATATAAATTTCTGAAAGGCGAAACCACTCCTAGACAGCAGATTTACAATATCCTGGCAAATCTGCAAAATACGATAGCGATAGTTAAATTAAGTTAAGAGATGCAAGGAATGAAATGGGATTTGAACCATAGTCATTCACATACTCTTGCCTACCTGGTACATCTAGAAAACAGAAATACGATGAGGCTTAGAGAAAGGCAAAAATCACATACATGACAAGCACATGCCTGAGCACGTTTTAGAAAAGAGATAAATGGAAAGCACTTGAATCAGTATTTTTCCAACAAGATGAACTTATTTAACCCTGACTACATATCTGTTGGGAGGTCCTCAGGGAATTAGGACCCTAAAATTTGTATTTAGCCATGCTATGTTACTTCTGGAGTTGTATTCTGTCAGTCTGTTATTATTTTTTATGGGAGCATGGGTTTGTTCCTGGTGAGGATTTTTGAATTTGGTATTTACCGTTCTGCTAGATTCTACTAGTCATATAACATGAGTCCAGTTTTCAGCATTTCCCCATTTTTTTCTCACTCCAAATTAGACTATGGCATGCTTTGTATTTGTGCCTTTAAAATCATGAGTTATTTAACACTTAGCACTTGTATTTTATCAGTCATGCCCTAATGAAAGCTTATATGAGATGTGGCTTCTGTCCTCTTTTTCTATTTTCATCTTCAAGTGTAATTGTTTCCTTTCTATCCTTGACACCCATAACCATATTCGAAGCAAAAAAGCTAATATGATTGTATGGTTTTGATATTAATTGCACTTAAGTTAAATATAGATAACATGGTAGGGAGGGAGAAAGCGTATAAAGTGCTTGATGCATTTTCTATTCTGACAGACACCTGTTGAAGGAGAAAAAGTATCTTGGGTTAAGTATTAGAAAGCCGATGAGGGTGGTGGTAATTGATATACCATTAGAATTTTTATGATCATTGATGACTTCAATTAAGCTTAAAATACTTGAATATTGCTGTTTTTGTTGATAGTATGTGCTAGAGGTTGCTAGTTTTTGTGATCTGGTATAATGACTTTCAACATCTAGTTCTCCTCTTCTCTCTCTCCCCCCCCCCCCCCCCCCAAGTGCCTATATTTTAGTCCAACTGCAGTATAAGGTGCTTTAATGGATCAAAATACCTTGTCGACCTCAATTCCTGCCGAGGAAGAAGCCAAAGCACATATGGTGTAGTATATCTAGTTTTATTGTGATGCTCATATTTAGGCAGGATTGGGTGATGCAAATTCCCAATTTCACTGATTCAGTCATATTGTTGGTTATAGTTCATGAATCATTATTTATATTGTTTGTTTGGCAAGTCGATGCAGGGTCTACTTCCTGGGTTTTCCTTTGAGAAAAAAGAGTTAAATGTTTTGCAGCCTATAATTGTGTATTTCCTGTCATTTGATCTCAGCTGACTCTTTTGTGATTCATGTTTTGTATGTTCACTGCAGAATATGGAGACATCACCAATATTTACAACTGGTAGTCCATCATTCCACTAAACTACTTCATCTGGCCAAATTAAGTACAAAAAATTCACAAGCAGTTTCAAGTTTTTCACTTTTTAAAGCCTGAAAAAGTTGATTTTATTGCTCGTATCTTTTATATATTCTCTGCCCTGCCTGTCAGTGACTCTATTGATTGAACTGGAAAATTCAGTTAATTTGATTAGGAAAGATATGGGGCTATAAAGATTTATAACTTAAAGACAATGGTCCTACTTGTTTTTTATACCCTTAAATGTAAGATCACCTTTTTGCAGCCTGTAAGTACTAGTAATACTATTTTTTTTTCCCTTCAAGCTTAATCTCTCCTCCTAGATGATTCATATAAGATGAACTGTATGTTTTTGTTTTATTATTGGTGTAAAGAAGCTCTTGTACAAGATGTAGAGTCTCTAGTAGATCTCATTGGCTCCTTGTAGCTGTTACAAGACTAGTTTTTGTCAATTTTTGGGTCTTGTAACTTGTTACTCCTTAGCACAATCTTTGTGCTACGGACTACTTTTATCAATATATTGGAATCTGTTACCTTCTCAAAAAAAAAAGGGGGATAGTCACAACTCTTTTGATCCGAACATATAACGGTGGAACTTGTACCAGGGTCTTGCAAAATAAGTCAAAAACTTCTTGATCTTGACATTAAATGCCCAGCTAAGGGATCTCATCGGGCTGTTTTAGGGCATCAAATTTAGAATTCTTTTAACTTCCACTCAAGGCTTATTCTTAGTGCCTAGAACAGGCAAATACAAATTTCTCTTCAATTTTTGGTTTATTATTCAAAATCTGAGAACTGGCATGTTTATACAGTGATACTTTCAATGAGAACACTCCACCTACTGATGATCCGACATATATTTCATCTCTCGGGTCTGCTGTGTACAAAGCAATGTCAAAAGCAGATAACAATGCGGTGTGGTTGATGCAAGTATACTTCTTATTCTTACCACTTTTACACTTACTTGGCTACTTATTTGTTTAATGATATCTAGCATTATTGTTATTTTTTTGATAAGGTAATGATATCTAGCATTATTTGAGCTCTATTATGATCTGTTGTTAATTTTGGCATCTTAAAACTCGTAGTATGGAAAAATGTTTTGGAAGTTAAAAACATAAGAAATGTGAGCTCACCGTTGGGATTTAATTAGTATTTACACGTATTCTAGAAAGGAAAAACACCTAATTACACCCCTAGGAATCTTCTAATTATAGGGATCGAGATACTTTCAATATTTACAAGGTATGGATCCTGGCTATTTGCTATTTTAACCAATTCGAGACAGTAACTTTTTATCATGGTTTATTTCATGAATTTTCTCAAGGAATTTCCTGGATTTAAGTGCCATTGATCGTATTTACCTTATCAAGGAAAATAATGCCATTGACTGCTGGGACCGTGTTATCGATCAGGGTAGTGCTTAGATACGGAAAAAAATTGTTTTGTTGGAAGTCTTTGATGCTAGTTGGTTTCTCATACTTTTAAGATTTTAGCTCAAATTGTCCCGAGTTTAAGGTTGATCTGAGGTGGTTACTGGTCCATTGTGTTTGTGAGAAAGCACGGGAGAAAATAGGTTATATGATATTAGATCATAAATACAATACAAGAGGTCCCTATTTATAGCTATACACTACAAGGAGATATTACTCCTCTTCCAATGTGGGACAAGACTACATTATACATATCTGTAAACTAACACTCCCCCTCAAGCCGGTGCATATACATCATATGTACCGAGCTTGTTACACATGTAGCTAATACGAGAACCAGTAAGAGACTTAGTGAAAATATCTGCTAGTTGATTATTCGACTTTACAAACTTTGTAACAGTATCTCCTGAAAGTATTTTTTCTCCGTCAAAGTGACAGTCGATCTCAATGTGTTTAGTCCTCTCATGGAACACCGGATTTGACGCAATATGAAGAGCAGCTTGGTTATCACACACTAGTTCCATCTTGCTGATTTCTCCGAACTTTAACTCATTGAGTAACTGCTTGACCCAAACTAACTCACACATCGCCATAGCCATGGCTCGATATTTGGCTTCGGCGCTAGATCGAGCAACTACATTCTGTTTCTTGCTCTTCTACGAGACCAAGTTACCTCCTACTAGAACACAATATCCAGACGTAGAACGTCTATCAAAAGGTGATCATGCCCAATAAGCATCTGTGTACCCAACAATCTGCTCGTGGCCTCGATTCTCAAATAGTAATCCTTTGCCTGGAGCTGACTTTATATACCGAAGAATGCGAACAACTGCATCCCAGTGACTATCACAGGGAGAA